TGATTCGCTATCCAATCAAAAGATTCATTTTCTAGGGAATAGAAAGTCGTTCCTAACAAGAACATTCTGTTATTGGCTGCCGAGAATTATGGTATATCCACACAAACTTGCATAGCCGCATAAACGTATGTATAAAGACAATTATCCAATCGCATTTTTCTTACAAAGTTGCACGTAAAAAGAGATTGAATAATTTTCTTTATGCATACGTTTATGCGGATATGCAAGTTTGTGTGGATATAGCCTTAAGATTACTATGCGCTTAAAATATATAATGTGGGGTCTACAATAGAAGTCGTAGCAGTCATAAGTCTGGATCTACAATAGGTATTTTAAACCTTAAGCCGTAAGAAATTGACCAATTACCCCGGATCTACAATAGGGTTTTAAGCCTTAAGCCATAAGAAATGGGCGAATCACGGTCGCTTATTCTTCTCGGATTCGACTGTAATTGGTCAATTTCTTATGGCTTAAGTCTTAAAACATCTATTATAGATCCGGGATAAGGGGTCCGGAATTTTGTCTACACCCTGTATATACGCACTTTGTTTAATAACATCCGTAGTTATGAAACTGGCCAATCACAATCATTCCATTCTCCCGAGGAAAAGCTATGATTGGCCAATTTCATAACTACGGATGTTATTAAACCCGATTAAGCGTGCCGTGTAGCAAAGGTCATAGAGTCTGAAGTCGTAGAAAATTAACCAATCACAGTAGAATACGAGAAGAATAATCGACTATGATTGGTCAATTTTCTACGACTTAAGACCCTACGACTGCTACGACTTCTATTGTAGATCCCGCATTATTCCTTTGAAGAATGGAATGACTGTGATTGACTAGGGTGCGTTCTGTTTCTCGCATGATGCGCATAATGCATCGTTTATCCTTGTTGCTCACCAAATATTAAAGGCCGCGACACAGACTTTTGCATAAAGCCATCGACATTTAGAATGGACCGCTGATGGCAATGGTGGGGGTAGAAAGACGATTAGAGTGAGAGGCAGG